GGCGGAGGAGGCAGCTGCAACAGCCAAGGCAGGGCTGCCTCGTCCAGGAGGAGCATCAGCAAAGTGGTGTACGATGATCATGAGAGTGAAGAGGAGGAGGAGAGCATGGTGTCCGAGGAGGAAGAGGAGGGAGACCCCGAGGATAACCAGGACTCCGAGGAGGAAGATGAGGAGGAGATAATGGAGGAGGAGGAGGACGACGACGACTCTGACTACCCTGAAGAGATGGAGGATGAAGACGATGCCAGTTATTGCACTGAGAGCAGCTTCAGGAGCCACAGCACCTACAGCAGCACCCCAGGTAGAGAGTCAGTGGGATGAACTAAAACAAGTCGAGGGCACCCCACATGCTCCCTCTAGGTTTGCAAATACAGTCTGCACGCATTCTTCCTCCCCTGCGTGTATGTAAGGGATGCCTGCAAGCACTCACAGGGAGAGAGGGGTATGCAAATTAACGACTGGCAACCCCACGGATGCAGGGAACATTAGAAGATGCTTACAAACACATGCACTGAGAGGAGGGAGGGAGGGAGGGCAGTACATGCTGTAACAAGGGGATGCTTTGCGAATATGCATGGAGATTCTGGGGACTGCAGAAATGCATGATACACCAGAACATGTTGCAAACAAGTCAAAAGTGTATGGAGCATTCACTTAATATTTAAAAACAAGGGAAACGAGATGAATGCCTTGCAAAGAAGTCCTTTCAAATATATACAGGAAAGGATGGCTTGTGCTTGCAAATATAACTTGATGTTAAAAGGAAAGGAAGCACATGCAACTTGAAGTGGCCTAAAAAAAACCCAAGCGTAAACACTGAAAATTTTCAGGCTCCTGAAATCAGAGGTAGAACTGGATCCAGCGTTTACTGGCTTTAAGACAAAACTAGCTTTCCAAGGAGGGAAATGAGGTGCATTGTTCAAAATGGAGATTGCATTGTTATAGTTTGGGGAAAAGTGCACAGGGCCTCATTGCAAGGGTGTAAACCTAGTTTTAGTTAAACACAAAGATTAAAAGGTGGAGGTTGAGTCAAAAGTCTTCGTTTTAAATACTGTATTTATCTTAAGGTATGGCAACCTTTAAAACTCATGTTGGGGTTAAAACTCGTTAAACATCATTGTGATTTTTTTTTTCCCTTTAACCTCTAGTGGCAAATTTGGGATCAAATTTTTAAGGCCTGTACTTCTGTTTGTCCTTAATTAGTTCATTAGCCATGTGGGTTGCAAGCTTCAAAAATTCTTTTATCTAAACTTAAGCACTTTGGATTTATTTGAATTCATTCCAGAATGGAGTTCAAGCTTAGGGTATTATTTTTTTTTTTTTTAAGTCTCTGAACCAGGAGAGTAGTTAAACTTAGGGATAACCTAGGAGTGTTTCTGAGTTGGGCTGCAGGATAACAAACACTGCTGTTGTACAAGTATTTGGCCAGTTTGGAAGGGAGGAGGAACAGGTTGTTGGTGTAAAGGCATTGCATCTTAATTAAAAAAGGAGTGTAGTTTTGAGTAGTTAGCTGATGACTTTTTAAAAGGGGGAAGTACTGGCGACTAAATATGTCATTTGTTTTTATTTTGGTGAGTTAATGGTATCAGCTCACTATGTGACTTCATAATAGTCCTTTAAAAAAACTCTGTATGTCTGTCTATATATATATATTTTTTAATCTATATCCATATGCTCAGGAACCTAAATGAATCAAAATAAGTACATACATTACTAAATGGATTTAATTTAGAGATAATTTTTGAAGGTGTTAGTTTACCTGTTGCAGGGGTGTCCTGCAATCAAATTGAAATTTTTTGAATATTTATTACTTTAAAGATTGAGGTCTGGCTTCACAGAAGAAAAAAACTAAAGTACTGTCTTGACTTTTAACTCTTCATTTTCTGCTTAGTTGTGGTAACTTTAATTTTTATTACTTTTTTGGGGGGTGCTTTTGTCAGGGAAAGAATATTTTTATGATTTTAATTGGCGAGGTCGGGCAAATATTTTTTTACTTGAGCATCCAGGTTTAAAACGATTTCTACAGAGTATGGGTGTATTCAATTTTTGAAATGTACTTAAGTGTTCTGGCAAATCACAAGATACCTCTGTGTGCATTGTTGTGCAAGCGTAGACAGGTTTTATGTGGTATTTAGGTGTATCAGAAACCATTTTGATAATTTATGTTTATTTCTCACTTGGTCAGGGTAGCTTCAGTTATCTTTTTAAAGATAAGTTTAAGTGTAAGCATTTTCATCCTTATGTGTCTTTTTTTTATGCTGTTTCATAGTTAAAACATCTACGTTGTTATTTTGGCAATTTACTGGCAGTTCTCATTAGTTCAGTATTTGCCTAAAGGTCTTCGTCCCTCCTTCCCTCTCTCGCAGACATGCTCTTGCCCTTCTGCAAAGAAAGTACAAACTTTTCATTCGATCAGCTCAGTCTGTGTCTTGTTTCTGCTGAACAACTATCTACGTTGTGAGCACTGCTACACAGTGATGGCACTGGTTGAAATCTTAGTCTTATCATAATCCAGGAAGAGATACTTGACATTAGAACAGCATTAATAGGCAAGGAAAAGATTCACCTAACCTCAGTATCTCTTTATCTGACAGCAGCCAGTGCAGAGAATAGTGTTCAGAATAGGGCAAGCATAACAGTGATATGTCTTCAGAGTTCCTTCATGGGCTCCACTGCTCTTTGACTCAGGTGCAAGCTGAGCCAGAATTGGTCTTTAGCTATGTTTAGATAAGGTTTTTTTTTTCTTTCATATATTTGTCTTCAAACCAGATGAATTGTAATATACAGTGACAAAGTTCCTGTGGTTAACTGGAGGGCTTGAAGGAGTGTGTTCTCCATTGTTTTAAACTGGCCCCTGACAGAATCGTGCGGTGCCCGCTAGGTTTTTTCTACTAGAAGAGACGATGAACGATCGTTCTCTACTTAATCTTCTCTCAGTCACGTGCAGCCTGAATTACTGCCACTTTCACGATGTAGTCTTAGGGGCTGAAGAGTTTTATTTTTTGAGAGCAGGGTATTGAAAAATTGCAATCCCAATCAAACTTTCCTACCAACCAAGATTTTTCATGTAAATCACATCCCATTTAAATGGGTGACAGACTTTTTACAGTTTTTCAAACTTACATTGAACAATGAATTAAAAGATCACAGTGCAATGTCTTTAGCCAAGAAGGGCTCAATTTTTGTGCTCTGCTGGGAAGTTTACGATATATCTTGAACTTGGATGTAGGAGTACTTTTTTACTGTATTATTATTAAAGTATTTAAAGAAGCAAAACCATAGGAATGGTAAAATGCCTTTGATATAACGCTTAGTAATGGTACAGTAAAGGCTTATTGTGTGAATGCTATGACATTTATCATTGCTTTTTTTTCTGCTGGACAGACTTCATGAAGGGATGGTGTGTGTGTGTGTAATGTCCCTTCTCTCTTATCCCTTTGTATCCGCAGAAGGTAGATGTACTTTTAGGATAGGTGTCCTATGTATCTTGTATCACTGAACAGTTTTGCCATTACCTGTCCACTGTAAGTTCCACTTTAGGCTTGTCACAATTGCATTATAGAGATCAAGTATTTTGCATATGTTGCAGAATATAAAAGAAGGATTTAATTAAGATGCCTATAAGTTCTTCATTTTTTCTGTTTCTTGATTTTCTTCGTCAAAAACTTGGAAAACTAGCTTTAGGAAGAGCTACACATCTACATTTTGGCTGAGATGATTATCAGTCTATCTAACAAGTAAATGCACAACAGTGGAGTTGTGAGGCAAAAGATTTATCTTAAAATACGTAAAATTTTTAGATGGATTTTGCTAGTCTGACCATTTACAGTGATTGACCATCACTTCTGTTAACCAGTTACTTCACCAGTGTGCTTTTATCTTCAGAGTGAAGGAGTTTAACTGGAAATGAGGTGCTGCATTTTGTGTGTCTCTAGTAATTTTATATCTTAACACGTTTTCATGGTCTTGAACAATTGTTTAAGTGGAGACATTGGGATAACAACAGTAAGATATGCAGCTTCTTTTGTCTGTCATGTGAGAAGATTTACCAGCCTCCCAAACATCTTACCTAGGGTACCCTGTTCTCTAAATGAAATCTGGCATGCTCTTATTTTACCATTTAGTAATCTGAACTTTGATTTGTACTCTAGAGGAACTATCACTAGTTCATCATGCCAGTCATGAAAAATGTAGAAGACAAGTCCTAGCAAAGAAATTGTGTAGAAGGCCAAACGAGTAAATCTGTGGCTGATTCTGTTGTATTGACATGCAAATATGCAGTTTATCTGAAGAGAGTGTTTGTCACTTCGTCATCTTTCTAAAAAGCTCTGTGCGCAAATACCATACCATTATCAAAGTAGGTATGTTGTAAAAGGTAGAATAATTTGGTGTACTGCAGATGAGTTTATTGTGCAAACTTTTTTTGTAGGTCTGCAGTAAAATTCCATAGCTGATCATTGTATCACATAGATCTGGTATAAGGTGAATAAATGTGCGTTTTACTATATTGGGGCCGGCTCTCAGGGCTCACTAACTTCTGAAATTAGTTACAACTTATCCTGAGTGTGTTCCAACTAAGAAATTGTCTGTCAGAATGTTCCTGAAAATGTTAGTGCTACTTATTCTTTTTTTTTTTTTTTTCCCTGGGTTCTAGGCACAAAAGCGCTGTTACTCTGAGTACTTCTCAGAATGACAATGTGAGATGTCATCTGCTACTTGCCTTGTATTAGTTATCCAAATGTTAAAATGATGCCTTAGAATATAGGGGGTTTGTATTCCTGGCTCCTACTGAGGGTGTACTGATGGCCATAATGTTGAGAAATTAAATTCTTCATGTAAAATCAGTAGAGAACCCCAGTTTGATTTAGAAGTGTACTACTGACAGATGTACAAACTGAAAAAATAAGCAGCCAAAAGATTCGAAGTTTTAAACCAGTTTTTAAAGAACGTAAAGACCTAGTTTTGTACAATGCAAGGCAGTAGTCAAATTTAACTTAGGAGCACATGTTGAGAATTTCTGCAGTATGAGTCCTCTCAGGAAGATGCTCTCAGGATCTAGTCTAGTAACTGGTTATTTTTTCCTTTGTGCTTCAACTTCCAAAGCTTTTGTGGTGCTTGTCTCTTATTTTTAATGTCAGTTTAGATTTTAAGTTTAATCTGGTTTGTGGTTGGGTTTTTTTTTTTTTCCCAGGCAAAAGAAAGAAATTTGAGTTAGGTACGATTGTCGCAGAGCAATATTCAAATTGGAGCTGCACTTACAAGTAGTTACAAATGCATCTTATTCTTTCAGAAAATTTTTCT